ACGAGATGGATTTACAGCAGAATTCTATCAGACATTTAAAGAAGATCTACATCCAATACTATTTAATTTATTCAAAAATAAATACACACAGACATACATCAAAAAGATCATCCACCATGATCAAGTTGGGTTTATCCCAGAGACACAGGGATGGTTCAATATATGTAAGTCAATAAACATCTTAAATCATATAAATGGACTCAAAGACAAGAACCACATGGTCATCTCAATAGATGCAGAGAAGGCCTTTGACAAAATTCAACATGCATTTATGTTCAAAGTCCTAGAGAGAATTAGACTGGAGGGAACATACCTCAACATAATCAAAGCCATATACAACAAACCCACAACCAGTATCATTCTAAATGGAGAAAAACTGGAAGCAGACACTTAGATCGGAAGAACAAGACAAGGCTGTCCAGTATCTCCACTCCTTTTTAACACAGTGCCAAAACTCTTTCAAGGGCAATAACACAAGAGAGGGAAATTAAAGGGGTAATAACTGGAGAAGAGTAGTTCAATATTTCCCTTTTTGCAGATGATATGCTATTATATCCAAATCGACAAAAATTCCACCAGAAAACTCCGAGAAATGATTAACACTTTCAGTAAACTGGCAGGTTACAAAATTAACAACAAAATGTCTGTGGGCTTTCTACATACCAATAACAGGAAATCAGACAAACAGTACATGGAAACACTCCCTTTCACAATAGCCGCAAAAAAATATAAAGAAAGAAAATATTTCTGAATAAACCTGACCAAAGACAGTAAAGACCTCTACAGTGAAATTTTTAAAGAAAGATTGAGGAAGACATCACAAGATGGAGGGACCTCCCATGCTCATGGATTGGAAGAATTAATACTGTGAAAATGACCGTCCTACCAAAAGCCATTTATAGATTCAATGCCATGCCAATCAAAATCCCCATGACATTTTTCACAGAATTGGAAAAAAACATCCTAAGATTCATATGGAAGCACAAAAGACCTCAGATACCCAAAACAACCCTGAGCACTAAGAGCAATG